CTCGTGAAAGTGTCGAATGACCGTCAGCATCTTCGGGGGCACGCCGAAGCGTCGGAGCACGTCCCACAGTAGGTCTCGGTCCACCGAATCGTATGCCTTGGTGAGGTCGACGAAGCACGCGAACACCGCAGTACTCTTCTTCCTCGCGAGCTCATGGAGCCGCTGGATGGCGAACAGCATGTCGAGCGTCGACCGGTGTGGGCGGAAACCGCTCTGCTCCTCCGGGAGGATGCCCTCTCGCTAGCAGTAGCGGCTCAGTCGTGTAGCGACGACCTTAAGCAGCACCTTGCCGGCGTGTGCGACGAGAGAGATGCCCCGGTAGTTGCCGCACTCCATCGTGTCCCCCTTCTTGAACAGCACTCTGATGGTGGCATCCTTCTACTGCTGTGGTACGTCCCCAGTCTGCCACACGTCCACGACAATGGCGTGGAATTCGCGGAGGAGACCTTGATCTCCGTCCAGGAAAAGCTTGATCAGCTCAGCCGGTAGGTCGTCCGGCCCGACGGCCTTTCTGTTGGCCATTTCTCGTACCGCTTCCTCAACCTCAAGCAGAGATGGGATGTCGTCGAGTGGTACGCACGTGGGCCACCGCTTGACCTTGTCAGCTGCATGCAGGTCGATGGTCGGCGACTTGGTGTTGAGAAGCTTGTGGAACCACCGTGCCCACCGTTGGCGAATAAACGTGGTGTGTTTATGTGTGTGTGTTTTCGTCCCATTCATTATGGCGACAGTCCCCCCATTTTTCGTGGTGAGACGTGTACTAACGTTTTCAGCGTATGTAAAGGACTACACTTTTCAGTGTATTTTTTCGTACAACTACAACCATCCAGGGTCACACAGGAGGGGTAAACACCAGGGCTTTTTTCCTCTTTTTTATTCCTTTTCATACCCCACCTTCCTCCTGCGGTGCGTGCAGAATTTTGTTTATATCGCGAGAAGGGTCCAGCCGTCCCTTTCCCTCGTCAACGGTACTAACGTCGAAGTTTGGTACTCACGAGAGCTTGTCAGCTATATTTTTCTTTCACCCGCACATTTAGTAAATTTTTCACCCCATGGGGATTCGAACTCACGACCTCTGCGACTAGCGGATTACGAAGATACCACTAGACCACTGGGGCGACCGATAGACAGGAGGAGTGGAGGACGGCGATTCTAGCGACGAAGACACTCGTGGTAAGTGGGATGCCCACCAGGGTTTTTCACTCCCCTGCTTGGTTGTTGTTGCGTTTCCTGTTGCTGTTGCTTTTGCCCTTGCCGTTGCCATTAAACATATGTTTGCGTAGATGACAAATCAGTTTCTGCGACATTGTCGTTTGTGCCCGACGTTGCAGAGACGACCAGTGGCCAGATGGTCGAGCTGAGTCTTGTGGACGACGACGACAGCATGGAATCGGACGATGAGATTCACGCCGTGGAGATTCCGGATGGGTTTCGCATTCAAGCATCTACACCGGCAGCTCTTGACAGTTCGTTACTGCAGCGTGGAGTACTCGTTAGGCTGGGCATGGGGTGGTTTGGGGGGGTGATCACTCGACAGTCTCAGGAGCACACTTGCCCCCTTTACGACTACCGTGTGCATCTCGGCCTAGACCAAAGTACGCGCAGCATGAAGCTGCCGTTAGAAACGTACAGAGGAGATCCGGATGCGGTGGTGGGCTCGTGCTTGCATGAGAGGAGCACGGTCGAGCAGGTGGATGGGGGCGGAGCTGCAGCCACGTTGGGCGTGAGTAGAGCGGTAAGGGAACGCAGGCCGAACGTGACCCTTATCGACCAAGAAGGTTGAAGCCTTCGGAGTTTGTTTTCATATTGATACTCAACCGCGAGCATAGCTGCTGCGGTGCGTGATCCTTCCAAGTCTGTTCATGCCGCCAAGTCAACGGCCAGTAACCTTGGTGCCTGGTGAATGGACAGTATGGGCATGGTACGGCGAAGTATGGACGTGCTGTATGGGGATGATGTAACTTATTTTTCCGCATGAAATTACACGCCAATTTCCACGTCCTATCGATGTATGTACATAGCACCACCCGGCCATGACTCCCTCCCTGCCGAGTTGCTCAAGATCGATGACGACGAACTCTTCGTCCTGGGACACCTCCATACCATCCTCGTCAAGGTGTGGAACGGAGGAGATGTTCCGCGAGAGTGGAAGGATGCAACCATCAAGGTGCTGTACAAGAAGGGTGACCGATCCAACTGTAACAACTACAAGGGGATTTCACTACTATTTCACGTAGGCAAGGTCCCCATCAAGATCATCACCAACCGTCCAAGCGCCTNATGTACATAGCACCACCCGGCCATGACTCCCTCCCTGCCGAGTTGCTCAAGATCGATGACGACGAACTCTTCGTCCTGGGACACCTCCATACCATCCTCGTCAAGGTGTGGAACGGAGGAGATGTTCCGCGAGAGTGGAAGGATGCAACCATCAAGGTGCTGTACAAGAAGGGTGACCGATCCAACTGTAACAACTACAAGGGGATTTCACTACTATTTCACGTAGGCAAGGTCCCCATCAAGATCATCACCAACCGTCCAAGCGCCTTCTGCGAAGCCAACAACATCCTCCCGGAGGAACAGTGCGGATTTCGTTCCGGGCGATCCACCGTCGACATGCTGTTCGTCGTGTGCCGCCTCCAGGAGCTGGGGCGGAGAAAGAAGAGACCGCTCTACATGTGCTTCGTCGACTTGAACAAGGCGTATGATTCGGTGGACCGAGAGATGCTATGGAAGGTGCTGGCCAGGGCCGGGATTCCAGCGAAGCTGATCGAAGTCATGCGCCAATTCTACGATGGAATGCGGGCCCGTGTGCGCATGGACGACGGAGAACTATCGGACTGGTTCTTCGTGACACAGGGCGTGCGACAAGGATGTGTGAATGTTGTTCAAGATCTTCTTCGTCGAGGTCCTCGAGGTCGTTGTCATCCGATTCAGCGAGGATGATGTTGTTCTGCGGAGCCTGATGTGCTTGGAGGAGGGGAAGACGGAAGCGGGGGGGGGGGAGGAGACACCCCTTGACCGAGTACGGAGGGCAGTATGGGGGATGCTGTATGCCGATGATGCCGGCGTCGTATCGAGGTCTGCAGAAGGACTGGCGAGAATGATGACCATCATCGTTGAGGTGTTCGGGGAGTTCGGGCTAACGGTGTCGGAGAAGAAGACGGAGACGCTCCTGATGCGCGCAAAGGACAAGCCGACTACAACATCACAGCCCGCCCCGCCTCCACCGCTGACCATCGAAGCCGCGGGACAGAAATACGCCCAGACGACCGAGACCGGTACCTCGGTGGCCTCGTCAACGAACATGGCGATCTCACCCGGAAGATCGACTACAGGAGCAGAGGAGCGTGGGCGTGCCTCAGGTGATATGGCCGGGAGCTCTTCGACAGACCGCAAGCGCCATTCCGACTCAAGACCCGCCTGCTCCAGGCGGAGGCGATGGAGGCACTGCTGTACGGCTGCATGACATGGTCACCACTCAGCGGCCACTATCAGACGCTGCGGTCGATACACCACCGACTGCTCCTTCGAGTTATCGGGTACAAGCGCAAGAAAGACACCTACCGGCAGCTCTTACGCTCAGACGCTGAAGAGGGTCGAATGTCAGAGCGTTGAAGCCACGATCCGACAACGACGCCTACTGTTCGCGGGAGCATTGGCAAGGCAGCCGGACGGGCGACTCCCGAAGCGACTGATGTTCGGCGAACTGGCAGGGAGGGAGAAGCGACGTAGGGGGGGACAGGAACAGAACTGGCCGAATTGTGTGCTCGACGACCTGAAGGCATTCGGGGCCGACCACGGATCTACGAAAATCGATCCATGTTGTCTCGGAATCCCGGTATCGAAATACACGGCACCGAAGTTAAACTGGACGGAACCCGCGAAGGTAGAGGGGGGAGTACCCTGGCATGCGGCGGTGCTGCAGGGAGCTGAGAGGTTCATGACCTCCTGGCACGAGAAGGAAGAAGAGGCCAGCCGACAACGGGCGCTCAAACGAAATAACAAACCACCAACCAATGGGGCGGGAGGGGGGCAGGAGATGGACGAGACGGCGAGGGAAGAAAGCAAACGAGAAGAGACGGACCGAGTGGCGCGATACGTGCCGGATTGAATTTCTTTTAGCCAATTCCCCCCCCCCCAACGCTGCACCATTGCACCAACCCCCCACTATCATAGTGATGACGTACCATTACAATGTATCGCTGGTTGATGGCCATGTTTGCGTGTTTGCCTGTCATTAGTGGTCTCTCCACCGTATGCCTTTTTATGTCTCTTATTTCTTGTTATTTTCGGCCTGGTACCTTTTTGTCCTCGCTCTTATTATTTCATTTTCTCCTTCCTTACTGTTTCCTTTTACTTCTTCGCTGTTTCTTTTTTTCTCATTTTCTCTCTTTTTCTGTGCCAGATGGCCTTGTCTCTGCTTGCGTTGTGAAGTACCAAGATTGAACCAAGGGGGTGTACCTCATTCTCTCCGACCCGTGATGGTGAATCCTAGTCTCAGTTGTTACCTGGCATAGCGCACAGAGGGAGTGGAGGACTCCAGAATATCTGTCGTTGATTTCTATTGACTTGCGGACCTCGGGGCCATTTTATTTGAGTGTACCTTTTTAGGGTAAGTTAGCCTGCGACCACGGGAATCGACCGCGTCGAGTGTTATCAATACGGACATACGAAGGTACTGGGTAGAGAGAGATCGGAACGGTTTTTCATGTGAAGACAATAACAACAACAACAACAACAACAACAACAACAACAACAACAAAACAACAGCAACAACAACAACAGCTGCGAGTCACCAAAGGGCCTCTGGAGCACTCAAACGGTGAAAAATTACAAGAACCCCGTTTTCAGCGACCACATGTCTGATCGGAATAAGAACATGGCCATAGGAACATGTGCTGGGGTTGAGGCAGCCAACAAGCGTCGAGCCTCACGCCAAATTTGACGTTCTTATTAAGTGCGGGCGCCACCTGTACGCTCCCAAAATGTATCGTTTCGTTTGTACATGTTCGTCGTGGCGTCATCGAGAGCTTTGAAAATCGATCCAGGGGGTGCGATATCTTGTGTCGTTTTTCTCTGAATACGGTAGACTAGACGCCGCAACGAACGACAGGCATACAGCAATCCACATGATATGTTAACAGCAGTGGTGCCCATGGTTTGGAGACCTCTATAGCAGTGCCAGGAAGGAAATGGTCCACATGGTCGCAGAGGTCGCTATAGACAGATCCGCTTGTAGAGCAGCAGTGGCTAGTCTACAACAGCAGTTCAATCGCATCGATCACACACGGCTGTGAAGCCTCACTCACCTCACGATTTTCGCTCTCAGACCTCTCTCTCTCTTACCTCCTCCCTCCCTCTCTCTGCTTGGTATCTGACACTTACTGCCGACGTGTAGGTACGTGATATGCCTTGAGTTTTTGACAAGACGAGACTAAGATAAGCAGATTGCATCCGCTGAACGAACGCAGGAGAGATCTGCGCGCCCGTCCTTGCGAAGAACGCTTCCTGCAGACCGCAGTTAGTTTCCGTTCTCCGACCTCTGATTGTTTTCTGTGGTTTCTTGTTCTTGGGCATTTTCTTCAGCAGTGCTTACCCACAGTGCGATAGGTGTGGGTGGGCGGGAAAATCGATCAAATCATAGGCGGCACTCCGTGTTTGCTGCTCCTCAAAGCTGCCATCTCTGCTACTCCTCTCCTTCTCTCAAATGCACTTGCTTGTCTCTCGCCCAGCGAGAGCACAAAAACTGTCTGACACCAGGGCTGCCTCTAGTTTTCTTCGATCCCCGCTTTTCCGAATTCCAACACGCCTCCACAAACCACAGATTCCAATACGTTCTGAATCTTCTCGTATATGTTTGCTCAAGAATGCTGGATTGTTTTTTTCTGCAGGCAACCAAAGAAAGACCAAGACACATGAAACAAATTGAGAGCGGAGGTAAAATGCCGTCTTGTTCCCAACGTTTTCTTGTCGGACTAACCCGTTGCAAACTTCGCAAGATTGCCCTACTATCATTACTATTGTTTCGGCCTCTGGCCTAAACACATCTTACTCCATTGAGCATGTCCGATGACCTACTCCTCCGAACCGCTCCCTGGCCACTCCTCGGGTTCCGTAAGGGCCTGAGACACAAACTTTGCTCCTTCACCCCCCGCCATAACGTACACCATAAAAGCCGATGATTTCCACCTCCCGGCTCTCTGGATCTGGATTACCGACGCCCTCAAACTTGCTAGGTGCGTGGCCCCCCCAATCCTTCCTGAATGCAACGTATACTTGTGTGGGTCTCTACCCGCCGCACTCGCGAGTAACCTGAGGTGTCTCGATGCCTCTGCCCTCGAAATAACCTTCCACCTGTCTTGTGCCCACGATTGCGTCAACGGCGCATGACTCCCAAGCTCGGGGTGCAGATCTAACATGTCGAGTAACACCTTCAACGCTTCTCCCGATCTAGTGACGGTTGCTCCAAAACGTTTTTGAACTGCCTTTGACGCTCTGAACGTGACTTCCACTCGGCTAGCCTGCCTCCGGTCTGCCCATGCAACCCTTACCGGACCGCAAAAGAAACCCAGGTCTCCTCTTGTTAGACAGAAATCTGAGTACAAAAGCCCCGAGTCGTCCGCCCAGATTTCTGAAGCTCGGCACGTCAGCAAGTACGAGAGGGCAAGTCCGCACCAGATCAACTTCCCTGATTCTCCCGAATTTTCGACCACGCACTTTCCAGCCTCTAGCATGTTGCATGTGAGTGGATTCCTAACCTTAGGCTTCGTCTGCGTATTGACGTGGACCCTATCAATGGTCTTCAGCATGGCAAGGATCTGGAAATGCGCAGCGGGCAACTCCCAACCTGCGTGCATCTTATGGAAGTACTTGATGGCTGAGAGATACCCGCGGATAGTCTGACTCTGGTTCTTGTGACCGAAACACCGGCAAGCCATTGACACCGACAGCTCACGCACCGCACTTTCCACCCCATCGCACTCGCGGAGTCACGGGCCCGAACCCGCCCCTGCACGAGCCTCCTTCCACGTGTTCCACATCCTTTGATACACCTTGTTGGTACCACTTCCCAAAGACCCGAAGGTGAGTGCGTTGACCAACCGCTCCCCCTCGACGCTTGTGCCTCCCCGGCCATCCGTTCCCTGTGTTCCTGATATACAATCATCGGGTATACATAGCGCGAGGAATGCGCACATTTCGAGGTTCCTTTCTAAGGTACGACAGGTTCCTGCCGAACCCATGGATAGCCCCGACTTGGCTTGAGGGGAGAACAGGAAAACTTGGTCGTCCAAACCAACTCTGCCTCCTCCGGCTATCCATTTCATCAAGGCGTCATGAAACAGTGAATGTGAGGCGTGTCCACCGCTCCAGCTTCTCGCTATCTCATTTCGTTTGATAATTCGTTGATCGTCCGGAACACAGAGCGGTGTCCAACCGCCCCCGCTGCCATGTTTTCTGTTCCTTGGACCATCATGTCCCATACCGAGTCGTCCAGACTCTCTTTTGGCAATTTCTTTTGTAGGATAATGCTAAGCAACGCTCGTCGCCCTTCTCCAATATCCTGCTGTGTCCACCCTGAGTCTTTCGTGATCATTTTTACATTGGCGGCGATCTCGTTGACTTCCCAACGTGAGATCCCGTCCGCGAGTGTGTTCTTTCGACCAGGGATGTGCTTGGCCACGTGGCACCAGCCGCAAGAAATTTCCATCCTACCCATGAGTCTCATTTTGAGGCTCGCGCGCCTGTCCCGCGATCCTCCACACCTGCTGGTCCAACTGACGGCCGACACGTTGTCTCCACGCATCAACACCGACTGTCCTTCTTGTATAGGTCTGTCTTTCAAGATCATTTGGACTACCCACGCCGTCATGAACATGCCCGCGAGTTCAAACAGATTGATCGTAATGTCTGCCGTCTCCTTCTCTTGCGCCTTGCGCTTGAGCTCTGCAGACAACGATGATTCGATCGTGTATCTCCAGAAAGTTTTTAGTTCGGGACAGTAGCCGCCAATCGCTGTGAAGCTAGCGTCTGAGAGGTAAAGGCGTGAAGGTGCTCGCTTTACGTAGAGTAGGAACGATGCGCTGAGGGACTCCCCTCGAAGTGCCAGTGGCTGATTGAGGGCCCACTTCCAGAAGGCGATATCGCCGTGGAACTCTCTACCCAAGTCCACTAGTCGTCGTGACCGTGTGTGTCGACTGGCTTGCGTATGCAGACCCGATAGGCGGAGCAGTCGCCACACGAAGTACCTACCAGCCCTGATAACGTAAGTGAGGTTCCACAGTTTTCCTGCAATGCTGAGGACNTGCAGACAACGATGATTCGATCGTGTATCTCCAGAAAGTTTTTAGTTCGGGACAGTAGCCGCCAATCGCTGTGAAGCTAGCGTCTGAGAGGTAAAGGCGTGAAGGTGCTCGCTTTACGTAGAGTAGGAACGATGCGCTGAGGGACTCCCCTCGAAGTGCCAGTGGCTGATTGAGGGCCCACTTCCAGAAGGCGATATCGCCGTGGAACTCTCTACCCAAGTCCACTAGTCGTCGTGACCGTGTGTGTCGACTGGCTTGCGTATGCAGACCCGATAGGCGGAGCAGTCGCCACACGAAGTACCTACCAGCCCTGATAACGTAAGTGAGGTTCCACAGTTTTCCTGCAATGCTGAGGACTTCTTGAACGCTGGCCTTCTTCCTATCGTGGGGCCAATTTGCCTCTAGTATGTTCCGAATCGCGCTTACCCGTTCGGGTGTAGTTGCAATTCTGCCATCATGCGTGTCTATGATGTACCCCAGGGCCTCTATGACCGTGTCCCAGTCAGTGCTCTTTTTCGGGGCGAGAATGGGAGTTTCTCCGACTTCTCCCCTGCCAAACAGTCTGACATGGTCCGACGCTAGCGAGACGGAAGCAATGAGTGCCGATTGGTCAGTGGGGTCATGCTGTACCTTCGTGAGCAAGAAATCGTCAATGTAGACCCTGGCCAAGAAATCGTCCGCGGGTCCCCCGCTTCTATGCGGTCTTACGCCTGCCGACAATGGTATGGGCGTTGGGGTGCCTTTTTCCCAAGGAGTTTTTTTTTCACGTGGGACATCATTGCGATTCCTTCTGGAAGTAGTCTAGCGTTCGCGAGGGACGTGTTGCGGTGCGAGTGCTCTGCAGCGGAGGCTAACACACCCCACAATCCTGGTGACGCTGCCCAGCCAAAGGTCAGCCGTAGATCCGCTACTAGCACGTCTCCTATCACGTAGCAAAACTTGTGTGCATGATCTGGTGATATCCTCACATTTCTGAACGCAGAGGTGACATCAGCCTTGGCTGCGAGGATTCTCTTGTCGGGCCATCTTACTCGTAGGCTAGTGAGCTCCTCGAGGAAAGCTGGTAGTGGTTCGCCGCAATGGCAACGTGGAACTCCAAACATAATGGTATCTTTGTTGAGTCCACCTTTTAACCCCTTGCTAGTGCTTGGGTCAAAAGAGAAGTCGTTGACGATCCTCGCTTTTTTTCCTGAGACCGCTCCCAACGGGGCTGCTCTGATCCCACGTGCGTCCGACGCGTTCGCCTTTCTCAGGACAATACACTTGTTACGCTTAACATCGTCGCACAGTTTTTCCCACACTTGTGTTTGGTGATCGTTTACGCTACGATGGTTGCCGTATGCCAAGGCTTTCTTAAGGTTTTGCTGCGAGTCTAGAGTGGGGGCCGGGGCTCCTTCACCGACTATCTCAATGAGGTCATCGATACCCGGGAAGCCTTTCTCCTCTCCGAAATACTGCTTGACGTCGCTCACGTCCAACGGCGGTGACACCAGAGTGTCGCCGATTCCCCTCGCGACGTCTCCCAGCCTTCCATCGTGGAGCTTTACCAAATCACTACCAATGTCCGCCATTTTCCGAATGATACATTGCTTCTCGTCTAGTGAGTGTATGGTTGACGCGAGTATGCTTCTCTGTACCTCGAGTCTATCGGTCAGAGTTTTTGAATTTTTCAACAAGGTTGTATTTTTTGGACTCTCTAGGGCCGAAGGTTCTTTCCCCGCCCGCTGAATTCGACCCGCAATCATGTCGCATTACTTTTGTGATGTCAGCGGCCCTAGCAGTGTCCGCCGCTAGTGCCCTACGTGCGAACAGTGCTTCCCACGGGGTGTCCGCCCCCGGGAGAGCTTTTGACACGGTCATGGTGTCCGCCAATTCCGTGTCGTTCCCGCGAATGGGAAACGCCAATCGGGGCTGTGTGACTGACAAATTCTTAAACAGGGTGTCCGGCCTGTGTATGTCCTTCTTCACACTACTGGTGTCCGCCAGTATTTTTTGTTTACCGACAACGCTCGCGGCGTCCACCGCTTGCGTGCCGCGGGGCCAATTACATTCACCCTGTCAGCCCCCGAGGCATATGCATTGCAGTGTTCAGCACGTGTGGTGTCCGCCACAGCCTTCGTAGTGTACAAGGCAGAGCAGTAATTGATCCCGCTATTGGTGTCCGCGAATAGGTATTCCGTTAGTGAGTTTTTCGCGGGACCGGCGTCCACCATTTGCGAGAGTGAGGGAAATGCATGTTCACACCGGGTGTCCGCCCGGTGTGTGTCAGTATTCGCACAATTGGTGTCCGCCAAAAGTTTTGACTTATCTATCACCCGTGCGGTGTCCTCCGCTTGCTTGTTATTTGACCCGTACTTAGCGCCGAGGGTGTCTACCCCCGTAGCTACTGTTTTTGACGTTTCGGCGTGAGTGGTGTCCGCCACCATGCAAGGCGAAAACTAATTCAAACAGTTAACAGTATGGGAAATTGCAGGTTCACAACTCATGCTCTCACCGTAAAACACAGCGGGTGCCACCGACCCGGGAAGGGGAACTCCCACGCTCGCTACTGTCCTTCTGCTGTCCGCGAAGGCGTTCGCTCCCGTACCATGTGCGCCGCCCCCCCTGGTCGGTCCCACCTCGTGGAAGTCGGGCCCGCACCGTCACGGATTGGTACCGCCACTGCCTCCTCCCGCGCCCCCTCCACCTCCTCCTCCTCCCGCTGCTCCTCCTCGCGAGCCGCCTCCGTAGCTGTACCTCGCGACTGGTGCTTGTGTCGCTCTCGGAGCAGGAGGGGCACGAGCGGGCGGAGCGGGCGGAGGGGGGGGNGGTGCCGCTGGGTGTGCCCCTTCTCGCACTGCGGGCGTGTGCAGGTCGTGCCCGACCACGTGTAGAAGCACTCGTTGTCGAGAGTGCCAGGCGGCGACGGTCTGTGCAAACGCGGTGGCGGCTGCCGTGCAAGCGGATGGGACTGGGGCAACGGGGGTGCGTGCAGGTTGAAAGTAGCCTCTCGCTTGGTGCTCGCGGACGACGGTTTGGACGGTTGTTGACGGGCTAGACCCCCCTGCAGGAGGCCCACCATCGAAGAAGCCGTACCCTCCGCAATCAGGACCAACGTCCTTGAGAACTGCGGGACTTGGATCGCCCCCACCGTATTGGGGGGTGGGGGGGCGAGGGTGCTGCGCTGCCGGAGCGCCCTAGAATCGGTGGTCAGACGACTGACGAAATCGGCCGAATCGAGGTTGGCGTCTTGCTTGAACCTGGCGAAGACGTCGGCCTCGCGGCCCTTGAACTCAGCGCAGTGGCGGGACGAGTACCGGCGGAGGTCCTCGGAGATCCTGAAGAGTTCCAGGAAAAACAGGCCAACTCGGTCGGCCCCGGCCGGAGAGGTGCCCGACGTGCCGTCCTTGATGAAAACTTCCAGGACGCGAATGAAGGTGTCGAGATGCNGGATCGAGGTTGGCGTCTTGCTTGAACCTGGCGAAGACGTCGGCCTCGCGGCCCTTGAACTCGGCGCAGTGGCGGGACGAGTACCGGCGGAGGTTCTCGGAGATCCTGAAGAGTTCCCGGAAAAACAGGCCAACTCGGTCGGCCCCGGCCGCAGAGGCGCCCGCCATGCCGTCCTTGATGAAGACTTCCAGGACGCGAATGAAGGTGTCGAGATGCACGTCGAACGTGCGTGTCACCGCNACGTCCCGGATGATGTGGTCGAACTCGCCCCCCGTCATGACGAAAGGCGAGAAGGTAGCGCCTCGCATTAGGTACAGGGCCGCTTGGTCGTCCTTTTCCCATGTGCGGCCCTCCAGCTTTTGGGCTTCTTTCAGCCGATGGGCATTGTATACAGGCGCGGCCCCCGGGATGCTCGCGAGCTGTTGGTATCCCTGGGGCGCGGCCGACTGGTGGTAGTGCTGGCTGGGGTAGGCCTGGAGTTGTTGCTGTTGATACTGTTGTTGCAGCGGCTGCGGCTGCGGCTGCTGCTGCTGCTGCTGCTGCTGCTGCTGCTGCTGCTGCTGCTGCTGGATGTAGACTATAGGATCTAAAGGTCTAAATGGGTTTGCTCGCTGCCTAAGCCATATGTGCGTCGAAGGCTTTGCACATGTCGACAATAGCAGCTCTTCTCTACTTCTTTCGCCCTTCTGCTGCCTGTGCTTGAGCTCTTGACCAACAACATCTGCTCCAGACGGCTGACACCGTATGCATACATACCCGTCGCTCCGGTGGTCTAGTGGGTAGCCTCGCAGCCTGCTAAGGGCCAGGTCATGGGTTCGAGTCCCGACAGAGTGAGTTTTTTCTTGCTGTTTACATCCTGGTCTCCGTTGGAAGCGGTGCGCTGCAAAGCTCGTTGTTAGTAAACTTGATCGACTTCTTAAGTTGCGAGGGAAGGGATTGCTGTACCCTGCTCGCGATAAAAATATCTCAGGCAGGAACCGCAGGACGGGGTCCAACCCCCCCCTCCTATGTGACCCCGGTCGGGTCGTCTTGCTGGTAGAAGTGGAGGATAGGGGCCAGAGGGGCAAACGACAGAGTCCAATGATGGGAGAAAAATAAATAAATAAATATAACAAAACCAGAGACGATACTGCTGTCGATTTTCCTTCCTTTGTCTCGAGTATTGTAGTCCATGCACACGTGTGTGCGTTGGCGGCACAGAATATATAGCAGCGCACCTCCAGGGTACGTACACCGCAGGAGGCATGCATAGGCAGCTCTATATGCAGGCCCTGTATATGGGGCAAGCGTTTCTCCTCGTTGCCCCGTTGCCCCTGTTCTCAACGTCTGCTCTCGATATGTATCTGTGGGTGAACACTTGACAGTCTATCCCTCCCCCGTGAGAAGCGCTTATTCGAAGAAGTCAACACACAAAGGAGAATGTCTGCTTTCGAGCCAGTAGTTTCAGCCCCCGTCTACCTGACGGAGGTTTCCAAGAAGGCATGAGATGAGCCCCTAATTTTCGTCGCGTTGGGTCCTCTCTCCACCACCATGGTCTCAAGTGAGTTCATCGACCTGATGGCACGTGCTTGGGCTTTCTCATGTCCCCACCGTTCATTTTCCTACATTGCGTCCGTAGGATCAATCTCAAACATCATTGGGAAACGTGGGCAGCATGGTCCCCCATGCGGGCGCACAAGGTTCGGAGCAAGAGGATCAGGGCGGAGTGGAGCGTGTAGAATTCAGTGTACGACGACTGCGTCGACGACCAGCATGGGACGCGGAGTCTGGTGGTCCATCTTTCTCGACCAGCCGCTCTTCAGTCCATCTGGAGGAGGGGAGGGGGGACAGGGACTCAATGCATTGGCAGTCCCCGACGGACTGGGGGCCCAACCGGGATGGAGCTGCAGCAGCCGGTACTGGCGGCCTTAGTATGGGGGTGTTCGGCTTGAACGGGATGGGATTGCGCACGGGAACTGGGAGATCAGTCATGGGAGGTGNACCAGCCGCTCTTCAGTCCATCTGGAGGAGGGGAGGGGGGACAGGGACTCAATGCATTGGCAGTCCCCGACGGACTGGGGGCCCAACCGGGATGGAGCTGCAGCAGCCGGTACTGGCGGCCTTAGTATGGGGGTGTTCGGCTTGAACGGGATGGGATTGCGCACGGGAACTGGGAGATCAGTCATGGGAGGTGCGCCGGTATCCCCGGCCAATGTATCAGCAGCTATAATAGCATCGCACCTCGACAGGGTGCGCGCACGGGCGTAGGCAGGTTACCCCTAGGAGGTGAGCCAATGTCCCCGACTTCTTTGTCTAGGGCGACGTGTGGAACAACGATTGCGCCTGTATCCCCGGCGACTGTGACGGCAGCCGGCATGGCCCCTCGCCCAGGTGCGAACCAACCGCGTTCGCCGCTTGCAATGCCCAAGTTTATTCCGATAGGCACGGCCTCAGCACCCCAGACCATAGGCACCAGTGGAGGAGCGGGTGAGAAGAGAGCGGCGGGATCACCTCTACATGAGGACCTCAACTCATCCCTGGAACACGAGAGCAACAGTCTTGGGCTGCCGACGCCAGCATGTCGTCCAGCATCTCGACGGGGGGAAGCCAGACGATGCCACGGATGTAGGACGAAATATCCCAGGCAAGGCATTGAAAATGCTTGCGGAAATTTGGCATGCTGCTATAGGCTGTGCCAAAAATGCTTGGAACGATGGACGGAACAGTCTAGACGTGATGAATTTCAGTGCTGCCTACATCATGTACGCCTGTGGTGCCCGTGCAAAAAGTGAGGATGCATTGTGTCATGTTACAAGGTCGTGTCACACCGTTCATAAAATATGTCGGTGACACAAGTAAAGGAGATGTCGTTGAGCTCTTGCATAAAATATTATAATATCCAGAGAAAGTCAAAGATAAGAGGCCGTTTGGCTTGCACAACGTACAGCAACCGTTCCTCAAGTCCACCTCGGCTCTCGAGTAATGAGTCGCGTCGGCATAGAGGAAATAACTGAATGAGTTAAGGGGTGTGCTTCGGAAAGTGATGGGAGCATGAAGTGTTGTTTTTATCATTTGCCGTACACCTTTTCCTGGACATTTTTTCCTGAAGACCCATGCAGTAGTTCCAGCCCCGGAAGAAGCATGGGACATATTGGTAACCTGTCGGCATGATCTACGCATAGTGCCCACAGTTGGTGCCAATCCAACACACAATCCCCATTCTGTCGCGTTTCCGTCACCGCCTAAAAGCCGGACAAGGGTCAGGACAGGACCCGTCGCGGTGTTGGACCGATCGACGCAAGCGAAGACCCGCCATGTGCGCACGAGCGTTTTCGAGTTTCCGGCGCGGTCACCTCCAGTCGTCACCGCCGCAACGACAGCTCTCAGTGCCACACCAACCTCGGGGACGGGTACGACATACTCGCTGTGCACCTCGGTCAGCCTTCACTGGGTGGCGGGGATCAAGGCTGGTAACAGATACATGTGCTCAAGGAATGACTGCAGGCGGTGAGTAAACGTACACGGAAGTCAATGCTATAAGTTGGGCTATCATGCCCTCAGTTTTGCAGAGAGACGGGCCTCCTCGTGCGAATTATCTATGCGCCTTCGTTTATTGTTTTGCTAAATATGTCGCGAAAGTACATATTCTTATGACGCCCAATCCCATGAACATCTTCATCACCATGTGCTTTCATTTGAACGAACAAAGTTCTGACACTCGGTGCGATTTGCCAAATTTTCCGCTTTTATCTTGCAGCGTCGAGAATCTTCAAACCTCAGCTGCAGCCACTGGTGTAACGGACTCGCCACTACCAGCTTGTTGCCCACATGCGGAGGTCGTGTTGGAAGCGGAAAGATCATCTACACCGATGCCGAAAGCAGATCCCCTGTTGTCGGCAGAGGAATTTAGACAAGCATTTACCACAGTGCCACCAGGAACGTTCAACGAGAGCACTACTCGAGCCATGCACACACGCGCTGATCAGGCGGCGCAAGAAGGCGTCCCGGTGCTTGTCGACCTCGGGAGTACGAGGTACTTTGGGATTAAGGACGGCCATGAAAACAACCGCACTGTGATTGGAGAGTGGACGCACGTGAAGTACGATGACAAGGGCAGGAGCAAGATGTTTCAGTGCAAGGTGTGGGCGAAAGGTTGAGGTTCGACTTGCGGCGGTTGAATGTCGGCATGATTGAGGTGCTTCTTTGGCTTCGTAAGTGTGCCCACGAGTGGTGACTTGTTGAAACCGTGGTCGCGGAAACTGTAGACATGACGACTCCCGGAGCCGTAGGCGAGAAAAAATGTACTATGAATAGGTTGAGGTGTTGCACTCACGAACGCCCACACAACAAAACTCTTCTGCCAGAGTGTAGGGCGTGGACGTACTACGTGTCTTGTGTGTTGTCAATGTTGAGCAAGCTGTTGGTATGCAGGCGGCGGTATGCATGGAATTTGAGATCGCCCTTGCGGATATGGACGTTTGGACACCGTTGGTTTTGGAGACAGGACCACTACCGAAAGCGTCCCCGCGCGCACCCCAACGCCCGGCTCAATTACTAATGTTGCTTTGCGTCGCCCCGTTTTTTGTTCTTGCCGGCGCCTGATAAAGGCGAACAACGGTAATCCGTGTGGTGACAGTAAGTCGAGGAGAAAGACGGGCCGCTGTGTTCACGCCGCCATTGTTGCTGTATACATTTACCACCGAGACAGGATTGGCCTTGGAGGGGGGGTGGACCTGGAGCTCGATGGCGATAAGGACGGAATGGAGTTCGGACCAGAGGGGGGGGTTTGGGGGGATGAACAAAGCACCGGTAACGACGTGGGGTTCGCGTCGTCCACCCAGCGCACCGATCCTATCCGTTTCAAACAGTAGATGGCCCAGCTCACAATAATTTGTTCTGTGTACAAATTTCCCGTCCACGAGCCTGGGTTCAAGGAAGGAACGTACGGGCGCGACACCATTCACGTCAACGGATGCATTTGCACAGGCTGCGGGAATCCGTACGAACGACTCTCCGACGCTGACGCAATCCTTGTCGGCCAGGTGGGTAATCGGGTTGAGCAGTAGGACCTTGTCTTCCTCGACGCTGAGCCGTAGTTTCTTGCTGCCCACGTGGTGATTTTACTCCGGAAAACACCGGCATGAAATAACGGCATGGAAACGAAGGGTAAGCTGGCCTGCATTGTCTCATGTGTTTAGGGAGTGACTCCTCCCTTCACGTATCACGTCTAATTTCGTACGGCGGGCTTGCGTCGGTGGTGTTGGTCAAGTGAGCAGGGCTGGTCAAGTGGGCCAACAGCTACAACACCTACCGTGATGTCTCATGTCTCATTTTTCCTGTGTCCGGGCGGTTGTACAGCAGCTACAACACCTAACGTACTTTCTCATTTCTCCTCTGTCTGGGTGGTTGCACAGCAAGCAGCGGGGAGAGCAGAACTGCAAGTGGTGAAGATCGAGTGAGGAATGCAGGGGGTGCAACCTACGGGGCTGGGCAGGCGACGACATCTACGAGGATAGGGTGTTAAATTACAACAACAACGTTGTAATTGAATTGCGCCTTCGCTGCGAAATCCGTAGGGGTTTCACCAGCGGTACTCCGATGTCGACCTGGATCAAAACATTCCTGGCACCCCTAGCAGATAGCCTGGCCTGGCTGGACGCCTCGGATGCCAACCGCATTTTGACTTCACGGTGAGTAGTACTCGGAGGCGGAATATGTCCTTGGTTCTTGTTGAATGATGGACAGCAACAACGTTTTCTGCAATATTTCTCTAATTATTCACCATGGTGATGCAAGACTAAGACATGGTCGCAAAAAAAAGGAAAGCTACACGCAAAAATCTGTGTGTCCAGTTATCGCTATTTGAGTGGTGAGTACGAAATGTAGATGCCTTGCCGATGCTGGCAAGGGTTGCTGGCAAGGGAAGCGCAAGCCAAATGCGCCCTTTCTGGCACATGATTATTTTGTTCTCGCAAGCGACAAACCGTCAAGCCGGGTTTCCGGTCCTGCGGGGGTGCATGCGTGTCGCGTTGCTTCATGAGTGTTGATTGCTTTTCAGTTCAGCGTGCAGATGTTTATTTTGAAATGTTTTCGGCCGACGTACCCAAGCCCAAAACTCCGTTTGAAGGCTGGCCGGTACCCGTTCGGACGAAACCAAGTTTGCACGTGCTCTCCAGATACATGTCTACAAACACAATCACAAAAGACAGGACCTCGATGAAGCTGTTGAGAAACAACACACGATCTGGTGGGAAAAACATTCGAAAAATGGCTCCTTCGCCCTTAACCAACCGCTGCAGCAGGCGTAAAACGATCACCCAACCCGGCATTTTTGTATTTTTTCCGAAACATTGACTCGTTGACGATGGCCTAGGTCATAGTCGACCACACAAAAAAACTGAACGCGGATTGATCATTTCTTGGTCCAGATATCGCCAATTGAGTGGTGTGGACGAAATTGAGGGACGGTACCCTTGTCGTCAAGGGCAGCACATACTAAATACTCACGTTCTTGAGCATTTTATTATTTTTTCTCCCAAACGAACAGCTGGTCATGCTCTGCTAGTTGATAGGCGCGCACATTAACCGCCAATTGGTCGTCCGGTCATGTGGAAATGCATAGGCGTCGCGTTGCGTCATGGTCATTGCTTGTTTTTGGGTGAATATATTTGTCTTGACATTTTTCGGCCGACGTACCCAAGTCCAAAACTCAATTTTGAGGCCGGAACGTACCCGTTCGGCCGGAACCAAGTTTTCACGTGCTCTCCAAATACATGTCTATAAACACAATCACAAAGACAGGACTTCGATGAAGCTGTTGAGAAACAAAACACGATTTGTTGGAAACAATATTCGAAAAATGGCCCCTGAGCCCTTAACCAGCCGCTGCAGCAGGCGAAAAATGACCACCCAACCCGGCATTTTTGTATTTTTTCCGAACCACCGACACGGTGACGATAGCCTAGGTCATGATCGACCTCAAAAAGAAACTGAACGCGGATTGATCATTTCTTACTCCAGATATCGCCATGTCAGTGGTGTGGACGAAATTGAGGGATGGCACCCTTGTCGTCGAGGGCAGCACATACCAAGTACTCACTTTCTTGTGCATTTTATTATTTTTTCTCCTAAACGAACAGCTGGCCATGCTCTGCGAGTCTATAGACGCGCGGACAAGCCGTCAAGTCGGTCGTCCGGTCATGTGGAGATGCAAAGGCGTCGCGTTGCGTCATGGTCATGGCTTGTTTTTTGGTGAATATATTCGTCTTGACATTTTTCGGCCGACGTACCCAAGCCCAAAACTCAATTTTGAGGCCGGAACGTACCCGTTCGGCCGGAACAAAGTTTGCACGTGCTCTCCAGATACATGTCTACAAACACAATCACAAAGACAGGACCTCGATGAAGCTGTTGAGAAACAAAACACGATTTGGTAGAAACAACATTCGAAAAATGGCTCGTTAGCCCTTAACCAGCCGCTGCAGCAGGTGTAAAACGAACACCCAACCCGGTATTTTTGTATTTTTTCCAAACCACTGACACGGTGACGATGACCTAGGTCATGGTCGACCACGAAAAGAAAATGAACGAGGATTGGTCATTTCTTGCTCCAGGTATCGCCATTTCAGTGGTGTGGACGAAATTGAGGGACAGTACCCTTGCCGTCGAGGGCAGCAACACGGCCCAAACACTCCAGGACGACCGGACGGCCGATTGGACGGTGTTCCTGCGCGTCTATAGACTCGCAGAGCATGGCCAGCCGTTCGTTCGGGAGAAAAAATAAAAAAACGCACAAGAAAGTGAGTATTTGGCTTGTGCTGCCCTCGACGGCAAGGGTACCGTCCCTCAATTTCGTCGACACCACTGAAATGGCGATACCTGGAGCAAGAAATGACCAATCCGCGTTCAGTTTCTTTTCGTGGTCGGCCATGACCTAGTGTTAAGGAGTGTTGCTGTATGGCACAGATAGGGTACACAGTCGGTCTAGATTNTTAAACTTGGCGTCAGCGGCAGGAATGTTCCGATTCAGGTAAAAGTCAATCGACGGATACCCTGCGAATCGGGT